AGCTTTTCTCAAACCGGGTGTTAAAATCCTCCTCTCTTCTGGCTAATTCCTTCTCAAAGTCCTCGTCCAACTGTGCACCATGGTGTGGCGTGCTGAAATGGCGGCAAATATCTTCGGAAATTTATGAAATCGAGAACCAATGAAATTGCAACATTTGAGCGGTGTAAACCACGAAAGCAAAGCGCTACAAAAAAAAGTCGCTGCGGTAAAGTCACCCACCTAAACGCTATTTGAATGTCTGCCTTAGTCCACAAATTGAGCTGTACAGCGACAAACTGACCCTCACTGAAGGGCTGCTGTTGTTGTAACTGATACACGAGACCACGCTCTGTTTCTAGTGCCCGCTAAATAACTTTTTAGGCAAAAATCATCACTAGTGCAAGTAGAGTGGAGCTCACCGTGTTCATAAAGATGAGGTCATTTAGATGATCCAAGTGTAGCTCACCATCCCAGACGAGAGGAGAGTGCAGCACTTCGTTCTCATTCTTCACATGGATACCCAACCTCACATCGCCAAATAACTCGCTCCGACCGGCGATAATGTCGGATAGGTGATGTCCTATGCGGAATTTTGACTGGCGATCCTGCAACAAGCTTACATGTGCTATTTTTATTGGTCCGTTTTCTTGTTAAATTCTGTAATACCACTAAGTCATCAGTCGCGACAAATCCATTTCAAAACTGAATGAGAAAATCACAACCATTGGGCAAAGCCAAAAAATGCAATCGCTGCAAGTCTTGAGGAAAGCGAATTTTTCGAGAAGAGTAATGAAATTCTCACAAACTAGTGGACCAGCCATCTTGAAAGTGCTGGATTTGCAGGCGTGCGCTGGGACCGCACTCGGTTTCCCGCTTTTGGAAGATTTTTGAACTGCGCTTGGGTTTCTTTGTGTATTAGATTAGATTAGATACCGCTAGCTGAGATCGAGTTCTATTTGTCAGCATTTTGCAGAAAAACGAGGACAAGGACATGAAACAGCAATTAACAAATATGATCTCACAAAAAATCTATCGGGATTTGAAATAGCAACACAAGATTTAGAGATTGCAGCCACATA